AACCTCGCACCCCTCAGCCGTAATCCCCGAAGTCCACCTCACCCTTAGCTCTAGACAACGACTCATCTACTTTCCATCTCCACAGGGTCTCTATTCCGGACATTTCATGTATAAGGAGTCCCGCAATACGAGGTCCTCTGTGACTGGCTTATCCACGGTGCAGCAGCACGTATCAACACCTTGATTTCCTTTCATGGCCAAATACTATTCCATCACGTGCCTACAGCACATTTTATTTACCAGCGGATGGACATTTTTAAGTTGGTTCTACTTTGGGGCTAACATGTATAATGCTGTTACGACCACTTGTATGCAAGCTTTTGTACGGAATCTATTTTCTTTTCTCTTGGGTATATACCTAGGAGTGGAAATGGCTGGGTCAGATGGTGGCTCTCTGTTCGGCAACTTAAGAAATTGTCAAACTGCTTCCCAAAGCCGCCGCATCATTTTACGTTCCCACCCACTGCCTTCTCTTTTTTGTAGGTGCTTGAAATTTTCCATAATAAAAAATTTTGTTTAAAGCCCACCCTCAACGGGCTAAAAACCACCAACGCATCCTCGCCACGTTGGCACCTGTGGCTTATTCCCAACATGTCTGTGTTGCCTTTACTCGCATGGGCACTCCGGGGACAAGATCATGACCCCTCGCCGCTTTCAATACGTTCTTGTTTGTTAGGTTTTTAGGCACGTGCCTCCTCCCTTTCATTTTGGGGGCGCAGTCTCTAAAGAAACCAAGAAGATTAGAGTCGGTAATGACCTAAAGTGAGTCACCAGAGTGGAGGGAATCAGGCAGAAGCCCCTTCCCGCAGCGCAGCTAAGTAAACACAAATGTGATGACCGCCGCCGACATAATGACATAAAATGTGGGCCACAAAGGAAAGAATTGCTGCGGTAAGGTGAGGGGAGGGGACTCCGTCTGCGGAGCCCCAAGGTTAAATGCTGGGGTATAAAGAGATGTAAACAAGAGAAATCTTTCAGCACAACAATTTGGGACATAATGGCGCACAGAGTCGCATTCTGCAGGTGTACGAAAGCACTCGGCTGCATTATTCCATCCCGGGTTCCCATTTTCTCTTGTCAAGAGGTCTTTGACTAAAGACACAATTGTCTTCCAAAGAAAGGCTGAAATGCCATGTCAATGACTTGAGTGATAGGCTGTAGCATCTTGGATGCCCGAGAAAAAGCAATGCTAATGGATTTGTACACTAAATAACATAAAAGGGGAGAGGGGGAATGCCCCACCAAGGCACTGCGACCGCACACCCCAGAGCCTTCTTCTGAGGCACTGAGGGGAATCAAGGCTTTCGTACCCCCTTCCAGTGAGGACAAAGGATGCCTAGGTTTCAGGGAGTCCAGACCTGACTCTGCCTTCCCTTCATATTCAGCCTGGACCGAGCTCTTTTTCTTCAACCCTCAAAGAATTAGCAGGTGTTCCCTCACAAATCTGGGGCATGTAGCTTCCTGCCCGGCCTCCCACCAAAAACGTCCCTGACCCAGGCCCAGGACATCCCGCCCTCTCCTGCGTACCTGACAGCAAAGTCTCCTGGGAGATTTCCCAGCCTGCCCAGCAAAATAGTCCAGCCCTTCCTACAAGTTAATAAGTGCAACAGAAGGCTCACATGAGTAACGTCATGAGCTAACAAATGAGCTAGCAAAGTAAAAGAAAGAGAGGACGTGCACACGGGAAAGGACCTCAGGGTTCACCGGATCCAACCCCCTCTTTTCATGAACAAGAACTCTGAGAACCAGGGAAAGTAAGCAACGTCAGAGGGTGACATTATCAGCTCATGTCAAGACGTGTACGTCCACTCCTCTCCCCCACAGGAGGTGAAGTTCATTGGAGTAGAAAAATGAAAGAATACCACTCAAGAATTTTATCTCTAATATGTGTAGCTCTGGGAGTGAAACAGGACAGGAGACCTAAAATTTTTATATTCTAATATTTTAAGTAACCATGACCTAGAAAGCACAGCTTGGAGTTCTTTTTGAAGATGCCGATGGCCTTTAGTGCAGGTTCGGTTGTCCTTGCCTGTCCATGTCAGCAGGAGGGAATTGGAGACCCGAATGAGGAAACTGAGGCCCTGAGAGAGGATGAGATTTCCCAAGGTCACAGGACTCATCCTCCTTTGGTGTTTCAATCTCAGTAAGAGCACCACTCATCACCCATCATTCCTCCAGTTAAAGGAACCAGAAACCAAGGAAACCCCCTCAAGATGCACCATCACCACGCCCTCCCGATCCAACCTGCACCCAATCTATCACCTCCCGTGTCCCCTCCATTTCCTCTGCCACAAGCCTAGAGCAGATTGTCGTCACCTCCTGCCCAGCTCCTACCTGTTCCCGGGACCCTTAACTCCTGTCCCTAATCATTCTTAAAACCACAGCTAAAGTGATCCTTTCAAAACTGAATCTGCTCGTGTTCTCCCCCTGTTAAAACCTTTCAGTGGTCTTAGAGATGAAACCCCAAATCTTTTTTTTTTTTTTAATGCTTATTTATTTTGGAGAGACAGAGTGCAAGCAGGGGAGGGGCAGAGAGAGAGGGAGACACAGAATCCAAAACAGGCTCCAGGCTCCGAGCTGTCAGCACAGAGCACGATGCGGCACTCGAACCCACGAGCTGCAAGATCATGACCTGAGCCGAAGTCAGATGCTTAACCGACTGAGCCACCCAGGCGCCCCTAAAACCCCAAATTTTGATGTTCACAAAGCCCTGCCTCGCCGGCCACATCCACCCCCCACCCGGGCATGCCCTTGAAGTCATCTTTTTTTTTTTTTTTTTATTTTTTTTATTTTTTTTATTTTTGGGACAGAGAGAGACAGAGCATGAACAGGGGAGGGGCAGAGAGAGAGGGAGACACAGAATCGGAAGCAGGCTCCAGGCTCTGAGCCATCAGCCCAGAGTCCGACGCGGGGCTCGAACTCACGGACCGCGAGATCGTGACCTGGCTGAAGTCGGATGCTTAACTGACTGCGCCACCCAGGCGCCCCATACCCTTGAAGTCATCTTGAACCACTCCCCCCACCTACTCCCCTTGCTCAAAGCCACATTGACCTTCTTTCCATCTTCCCATCCTTCCAATACACCATGTTCCCTTCCATCCCAGGACTCTTTTGAGAATACTGTCCCCTCTCTGAAAAATTCTTGTTCCACTCCTCACTTAATTCTCCTGCAGGCGTTGGCTTATGTCCTTCCTCAGGAAAGCCTTCTCTGATCCCCAGCACTGTGTGAGGCTCCTAACTTTTGTACTTTCCTAGCAAAGCTTCTTTCCTTAAACATCGATCCTAGTTTATGATGATACGCTCATTAGTGCGATGAATTGAACACAGTCTATTTCCCCACACAATAAGAAAGAAATCTGCTCAGTTTTACAGGTTTTTCTCCCAACACCTAGCATAGTACCAGATACTAGACATATATTCAGTGATCATGCACTTGTATGACCAGAAAGCTGTTAAAATATTGAAATGTTTTTATATCCATTGTTAATTAACTACTGTCCCAAACCTCCCAGGTGTCTCATGGTATCCTAGCCACATCCCCTCCCCTGGACCTTTCAGGGCACCCTCTATCCAGTAATTAAAGGAGGAATGTCTAGCACAGTACCTGGATGATCAAGGCTAAATATTCTACCACTCCAGCCTGCACTGAGTAGACACTTAATAATTATGAATTGACTAAAAGAATAATCGTAGAGCTAGTGTTTCAACCCTGATTTACCAAACCCCTGTCATTTTTCCTACTTTGTTTGCTGCTTCCTCTTTCACCCCCTGTTGGCATTAAGTGCTTGCTCTGCAAGCTCTAGAGGGTGGCATAGTCAGGTTCACGTTTGGGTCCTTCTGAGCATCCCCTCTCCCTACGTTGAGGCCTCAAGAGCATGCAGCAGGCACCTGACGACCTTAGCACTGAAACCCACGGCATCTGGTTGCCGCCAGGAGCAAAGGCATCCAGATAAACCTTCCTCACCATCTGTCAAAACTCTACAGGAAATCCCCACTTTGGCAGAAGCCACGTGACTCCAGGAAATCCACTCACCCTTCCAAAAGGGCGGGGAGACCACCTAGATGCGAACTCTTTACCAGCCAGCCTTCCATCTAGAGACATAAAGAGAAAAAAGGAAGACCTCTCTTCCATCAAAGAAGACATTCAATTGTAATCATTTCTTGATTCTCAGGTCAGGTCACCGTGGTGGGCTTTTTAACTTCTCTGGACGCTGAAAAGGTGGTATCTTCCTTAGCCTGGGTTTTCCCCGGAGTAGATCCAAAGGAAAATATTTGGGCATAAGCAGTTTAGTTAAGGGATACGCCAAGAAAGCGCTACGAGGGAGAAGGATGTGGGACCAACAAAGTGTGTGATGTTGAGCAGGGTACCTGCGTGCATGACCGGGGCTCAGTCTCACACAGACCCCGGCAGACGGTGTAGCATCCTTCTGAATTATCCGTCAGAGAGGCAAGGAAGCTGGGGGATCAATCTACCAATTCCCAACCCTCCTTGGTTGAGGATCTCTCTGGGGCATTCATTCTCTTGCACTTCCCCTCGCCCCGTGATCCTGTCAATCAGGAGGCCAGAAAATGCCTCAGGCCAAGAGACCACAAAGCCACGACTGTGTCTGGGAACTGTCTGCAGGTGTGAGGGAGCCCCAACAGCATCTGCAAAGGCTTTCAAATGCTTACAAGAGGAAAACCATCGTATACAAGCCGCTAAAGGAAGCTGCACGTTGGGCCGTGTGGTACGACGGGCAGAGTTTGGGCTTCAGAATCCAAGTCCTGGGTTTGAATCTCTTCTCTGCCACTTGCCAGCTGGGCCAGTGGGCAAGAGAACCTCTCTGAACCTCACTCTTTGTTTAATCTGTAAAGGTCATAGTAAAGATTAAATGAAGTGCTGTATACTAAGTGTACCGTGCTGGGCACATTACTGATGCTAATTAGTGTAATAATAATAACTACTATTCCAATAAAATGAATCGTTTGCTCTTGGGAGTTTCATGATCTAGGAAGCTAACCTGATACCATCCAGGAAGGGTGATGTCTTCTCAATTTTAATTTGTAGTGTTCTTTAAGTCACGCGTTTGTTGGTTCATCCGACAAATGTTGTTGCAAATCCATTTCAGTTACAAAGAGGAGGGGTTGGCAGCTATTGTTACAATGGTTAGTCCTCAAATGCCTTGTAGCTTTCACCATCTTTCAGTCTGCAGCTGTTCTCTGCAGGAAGACAGGGAAAAAAGATCGTCGTAACGATATAATGGTGTCAGCTATCGATGCTTAGAGCTACATGACTTTGAATACATTTGAATAACGCTTCTATACTTCTCCATCTGTGAAATGGGCATAATAACACCCACCTCGCAGGGCTGCCGCAAAACTTAAAAGAGATGACACTGCACACATCTCCTACAGCGTCAGTGACCCCGCGGGCTCCTTCTCATCATGTCATCTCTGGGGTATGCATGGTTTCGTAGCTAAATGTTAAGGGGTATTGAGAGGATGAGCACTTCAGATCCTTGGGCAAATGTGAGAACAACCCAGCAGCCCTAAGCGAGCTGAGCGCGTCAGCAGCACTCCGCGAAACGTGAGAGTCTAGCCCTCCTCGGCTGTGACTCGCAACCACTGTCTTATTCCGCTGGTCATTCCCCCACTCCCAGCTCAGTGCCTGTAAATAGGAGGGATGTGGTTGATATTTGCTGATAAACAAATGAAACAAATCGAGCCTGCTTTTCCAAACAACAGCACAAGAAAAAAAAAATGCTTCAAAGAAGACACCGTGAACAAAAACTAAGATCCTTGAGGACAAGGAGGGTGGCATTCCTTGGTAGCCAGTGACAAATCAGTGTACTTAGTTGACTACCATTCTATCTAAATGGAATAAAATGTCTCAGAGGACCAGGATCCACCTGCACTATAAATACAGACCGCTGTGCTACAAGGCCCTGTTCTAAAGAGACCCGCTTAGGATCCTGATCCCTTAAAATATACATTGTTTAGTCTAAAAGGCAGAAATAGAAGCAACCGCAAATGGAAAACTACAGTCTTCTGGCTCAAAGCGTGGCCCACCCAGCAGCGAGAAGCGCGGGCTCTCCTCGGGAGCCGTCCCCACACCTGCCGGAGCAGAATCTGCATTGTATACACTGCCCACGTGATTCTCAGGTAGGAGCCGGGCTGGCACTGCTCTTCGAGATGGGCTACTCCTCGTCGGGGGAGTTTTAAGAAAATACCGAGGTCAACAGGGTCATCGGTCTGGAATGCAGCTTGGGCAAAGTGATTGGAAATAGGAAGAGGAATGAGAATTAGAATTCCCTGGGGAGAGCACTGCATAGACCCGCACGGGGCAGCTCACACAGCGAAAGGGCTCATTTTGCCTCATGGAGGATTATTTCCCTGAGCTCCTCAGGGTGCCTCCTATCTGGCCGTTGGGAAGAAGGCTTGAATGTTATCTGGGAGCCAGGCCCGCACCAGACCAGGCCTCCACCTACCGAGAGAAGAAAGAGTTAACCCCAAATCCAGCCTTCCCTCTCCTGCTTCTATGGGCCCAGCCGCCGCCGCTGAGCCTCAATCACCTTCACCGCAGCGTGTACATCTGGTTCCGTTCCTTGGAAATGTCTCCCCTTCTCATTGCTTCCCTCCCCTCGGGGACAGCTTTCCCCAGTCCTGCCCAGGAGAATGACCTGAGGCCAGGGGATCTAGCCTGGGAATGTCCCCACTGCCTGCTCCACAGTCCAGACCTCCAGGTGGGGTTTTGAAGTGATGACATCAGCCATGGCCGGGGTAGCAAGTTACATCAGAAACACTCCAATCCTCCCGGGAACCTTCCTGGGAACAAGCACGAGGCTCTGGCTAATTTTAAATGTAATTAAAAGATTTTCTTCCTTTCTTTCTTTCAAGGCATGATCAATTTCCACAGCTCCCCCCTCTCAGAATACTGTTCCTCTGAGGTCTTCTTTTTTTAATTTCCAGATTTTTCTCCCCAAATGAGAACACTTACAACAGATGCAAGTCCTTTGCTTATTTGGCCTACGTATCAGCAGACAGTCTTTTTACAATGCAGAAAGGTTTTTAATGGGATGTGGAAAAGGTCTTCTCTCCCAAAACACTAATAATAAAAAAAAAAAAAATCTTTTTTTATTTTCTTCAAATTGCTTTTTATAACCCATTCAGCATTTTCAGGGACATAATTAAAACATCAAACAGTTTTCCTGCCGGTTATGCTAAAATCTGAATACTTGAGGCAGCCACTATTATTAGATATTAAAATGGACTTGAGTATTTATTTAAAAGATCCTCTTAAGTAACTATTCATTTGGGTTTGCTCTGTTTAATAAAAAGACAAGCCCCATAATGTGAAAATACCTGTTTCTAATAAAGACCATAATTGGTAGCAGGAGGATTTTTTTAAATATAAAATATGTATTTTGTTCCCTATTTTTCCAGCTTAATGCGACTAATTTCCCCATTCAACTTTATCCCTAAGGAAAACTAGGGAAAGTAAGGCCATTAGCAATACACGAAGCTCAGTAGTTTGCTTTCGTAGGGTGTAATTGCTATCGAGAAGGCTAGTCGCCGGGTAATTTTGGATTAAATGAGTACATAGCCTGAAAAAGGATAAATTAACCTCTGTAGAACTGAAATTAGATTCCAGTGAGTGACTGTTCTAGCTCAACACACACGGAGTCCAAGGCTGGGGACTATGTCGCCCAGGAGGAAAAGCCAGTTGAAATGCTGACTGCCCGTTCGCGGGTGCAGAGAGGGCAGGGAAGCCAACTCGGGAAGGAACGGATGGGGCAGAAACGGAACCTGAGAGCATTTGTTTCTCTTGCTGTTCCAGGGGTTTGTGGACGCTTTCCAGATAAATAAGAGGCTTCCCTCTTCACAAGACCCCAGCAGGCTTCTCAGAGACGAAAGCAGATCGGGTCAGTTCACTGGACACACGGTTACTGACGGCAGAGGACATGATAAAGCCGTGCCGGACACACAGAGAAGAATGTTGGAACACGGGTGTGAATACCACGTGAGAAACAATTCTAATCTCCCTGGGGCTTTTTAACGGCAGTGAGATGGGCGAGCAAATCTAGAATACAAAATTGTGTGCACTGGGGCACCTGGGGGGCTCAGTCCGCTAAGCGTCCGACTCTTGATTTCGGCTCACGTCATGAACCCACGGTTCGTGGATTCGAGCCCTGCATCGGGCTCTGCACAGCCTGCCTGGGATTCTCTCTCTCCCTCTCTCTCTCTGTTCCTCCCCCGCTTGTGTTCTCTTTCTCTCTCTCACAATAAATAAGCAAACTTTTTTTAGAAAGATACAAAAAATTGTGTGGGCCAACTGCCCTTTGAATGGCACAGATATTACGAGCTTAGAGCGGGGTCGTCGCTCTGGTTCAGAACAAGACGGAAGGCTTCTCACGGAGGTGGCAGGGGCTGGACCGTGAAAAACACGCTGGCTGGGGAAATCACGTCCTGGTCAATCCTGCCCTTCTCGAAATACCTGCAACACTAGAGTGCGTTGAAACTTCTGGAACTAATTGCATACCTGTGACTCTGCCTACGTGAACTCATATCGGTGGGTTCAGTCCTCACCTTCTTTGTGAGATGGAGAAACAGTGGCCACAGGACCTGCCCACACGAACTGGATATCAACCCCCTGCAAGGAACTGTTAGATGCTGCTGAGGAACAAAGAGAAAAGAGGTGGCGAAATCAACATTGTCCTCTGGCAATCTACTTAAAGATCAGGAAGTATACCAACACCGCCAGGCAAACCGAACAATTGTAGGAAGGATACAGCAGGTACCAGATGAGAGCCACGGCTGTCCATGCGGTGGGAGGGAAGGACAGTAGTGACCCCTCAGGCCGAGGCAGCTGGGAAGTCTAGCTTAAGAACCTGAGACTTGAACTTAATACGCCGAGTAAAGAACTCTGACCGTAGAACACGGGAGGCAGGGAGGAAAGGAAAATGCATTCCTTGGCTGAGACGTTACTGGCATTTTCAAACCAGAGAACGGATAGTTTCAATAAGGAGGGAGAGATTCCCCCAAGAGAATCTTCCTTCTCCCTCTCTCTGCTTCCTCTGTCCTTTCGAAGCACATCCCAGTCCCCAGCCCTTATCTAATTTGATGGAGCTGGCCAGTGTTATTTTGGGTGGAACAAGGGCTCGGAAAGACACCGTTGCCAAATTCTCCTTGATGAAAGGCTTTTGTGCTCTCGGCTCCATAACCCCCACCCACTCAGAGGGCAGGCCCAGATCTTCGGGCCCCAAGGTTAAGGACCCTGCTCCGCAGGTGGGGAGCACACCTGGGAATGCCACAGCCCTTCCCGTGGCCTCCCAAATGGAGTCGTTGGTCGTTGATGGATGGTAAACACACAGGAAGGGAGAGAACTCTGTGGAGCGGGTGCCGAGCACATATCTAAAGCCAAAGAATTTTGTTTCACTACCCTCTGTTGAAGTAAAAACAGCTCCAAGAGTATTCCCTGGAGTGTGAAACGGTTCTCTCATCATCCAGGGTTCAAAGACACTGTGAGGCGTGTAGCGTAGCTGAAAGTGTCTGTATGTAATAATGCCTTTATGATGTTGTTTTGTTTCTGGCTTGCCTTTACCTGAATTATCTGAAGACATTGTTTGAGGCTATAAAAAATATGAATAATATTAGGCCTTGAGATCAAAAATCATTTTTTATTTCCACGGTTGTTAGCCGCCAATATCCCACGCACGGCTCTCAATTTCCAAAGCGGCAGTGAAATGCTGGGGAGATCAGGTGAGCTTTTTTTTTTCTTTTTTTTTTTTTCTCTTTTTCTTTTTCTTTCTCTTCTTCTTATTTTTATTTTTGTTATTAGGCACTGGTCTTGATTTTTGAAGCTGCCGAAAGCCGTTGGATACGGCAAAACTAATCAGAGGAAAAACTACCATTTAAACATGAGATAAAAGGGCACTTGGCACAGCAGCCTAACGAGATGTCCACCCAATGGGACGAGTGACGCACACCTTCCAGGGTGGCCCCGGGGGGCTCCAGGAAGCCAGCGTGGCTTGAGAGGCAATGCTACCGAAACCGAGGACCAGCAGGGGCTGCACATCCAGAGAGAACTCTCTTGGCCCGCCCTCTGAAGCCACAAACATGCCTCTCTTGCCTCTTTGTCTTACTCTGCTGGTGAAGAACGAAGTCTGAAAAAAAACGAAGTAAGAAGTTCCTTTTTGTTTTTTTGTTTTTTGTGGGTGGTG